GCACGAAAATCATTCGTCGGCAAAGCACCATTATCCGAATAGCTGAACCGCCATTATTTTACAACTATTTATTCATTTTTCCAACACATTAGTACACTTTGAGTAATTTAAGGCTGAACTTAAGTCATGGGCTTAAGTTTAAGACCGACTTAAGTTTTGTTCGTGATACGGTTTAAGTCCTCGAACTTAAGTAAGGCTTAAGTCCCGACTTAAGTCGGTGACTTAAGTTTTTTCGTGATACGACCCCCATGACGCTAAACTATCTCATTTCTGATGAAAAAATCAAAAAAAGTCGGTATTTTGGTATGGATACCGATATCGGTGCATACCTAATTCTATCGTCGGCTATAAGATATTACTTTTGTTTGGTCCACCTATAGATGACGTCATTTTGCCCACAGACAACAAATATCACAAATATTTTGACAAGATACAATTTTTCTAGAAGCTGTAATGAGTGTGCAGCATCTTACACTGTTTTTAGATTAAAGCACATAATAGGGAATAGAATCATCTTTGTATTCGATACTTACGAGGGACGACCCTGACGTGTCCGTTCAATTTTTCCTTGAAACATACATGGTTATAATTAATTTTCGATGCTGATCGCGAATCTGGTGTCTGCTCTTGCCCAGGTGGACTTTCGAAGGGCATCATTGGAAAGCTTCTGGTTGAGCTAAAGAGATTTTACATCTCAATTTACCAGAGACCCTTGACTTCTCACCTTCTGTTGAAGTAAAACTCTCTTAGTTGAACCAAACTCAATCTTTAAGTCAGGAAACGTTTTCATACAGGTAACTTGACATGCTCTACCAACCAGAATATCTTCATCTTGAATTTTAAGACGGATTTCCATAGACTGATTGTCGGATGATGCGTTCCGACAGTCCATATGCGATGATCGAATACCAGATTCGCGATCAACATCGAAAATTAACTATACCCATGTATACTTCGAGGAAAAATCAATCAGACACCTCAGGATCTTTCTTAGTGGATGACACATTGGGCAACTATGAAAAAAAAACACAGGCTGCTTCGTTTTAAGGGTACCTTCCTCTTTTTGGAGAAAATTCGGATTCTGAGGTGAGCATAGCCTACATTGAGTTTCCAATCAAGTTCTGAAAATATGAAGCGTTAGTAACTTTTAGTTTTTATTCTTGAGCATTAGAACTGCATTATTCTCGTGACCCATACAAGACAGTTTCTATGAAGAGAAACAAAATTGTCGAGGAGTGGTCATTTTTCTCGTTGGAGTAGCATAATAGCAGTTTCTTGATTTCTCTCCTACCCCTCGTTAGCTTTAATACAAGTTGTTATGATCATCGGTCATATCGTATAGCAGATGTATTAAAAGCTACAATGGCTGCACCTACTTATTCTCCACCACATAAAATGAATAAATGGAAAATAGAAAATGGTTTATTTCAACCAAACGGTCCTATTGAAATATTGGTTGATGGTGGAATGTTTGCTAATGATCCAGAGTTGGAAGCATTATGGAGAAAAATGGTTAATTATTATATAATATCTATAGGTACAGGTTATTATACAGAACTAATGTCAACATTAAATCAAGGTGGATATAAAGGATGGTTATCAAATGGTAGTTTAATAATTAATACACTATTTGAAACTACACGTAGTTTTACTGAAACAATTGCGAATAATTTAGCTAAATTTAGTAATTTGAAAAGAATGAAATTTAATTTTAAAATACAAAAATATATGGATTTAGATGATCCAACTTTTGTACCTGTATTTGATGCAGAATGGAAAGATTTTAAAAATGGAAAAAAAGGAAATTATAAAGATTTTGATGCATTAATAGATTTTTTTGTTTTTTCACGCAGCTGCAGTCGATTTACGAATGGCTACAACGGGCTTTAAAATTACCAAAACATTACGGTGACAAAACATTTCAGACATTCAGGAGACGTCTTATTGTGTTCAGAATTCTATGCTCTATCAGGCTATATGGTTTGAAAAATTTTCTGACCAAAAACCATGGACTTGGTTTTCCAGCGGTCAGGTTTTCCAGAAACCCTATTATCAACTTTTCTCATGAAACGTCGATATGCACAGCAATTGATAGAAACATCTTCGGCCTATTCAAAACAGTATTCAGATTGGCTTCAGCTTTTACTAGAAGATCTAAAACAAAGGAATTCTTGTGATTATCACACACTGTACTGCATAGATAACACCCACACGCTTCTTTTCCATATCTTTAATGACTGGCTCCACCTGTCTGGATATTCTGATCCGCTCACGTTGTAGAGAATTTCACGGGCTATCTAACAGTATATTTCTCAAAAATGTATATTTTTTCATTATGACAGAAAAAATTATGAAAGGAGTATTAGGGCTGTTTTCTGCCCTCGAATGCTTGTTTTGTATGTCTTTGATGACTGGTCCCACCAGTGAAAATATTCTGAGTAGCTCAGTTTGTAGAAAATTTTACGGGCTATTTAATGCTGTGTTTAATTGCCATTTCAGTGTAAGGTAGTTGAGGAAAATCTGTTGTACTCATCATATGGTAGCTTTTTAATGGTGCTTATTGAGATGCTATTGTTCAGAAATTAACCGGATTTTACCTGACAAAAGCATCTGACTTTACTGAAAACGGAATAGAGACACCTTTTTTACTGCATATGGATCCATTTTTAGTCAAAAAAGAGAGTGGGCCGATTCATAACCTTATACGGCCCGCTCCTTTCTTTTAATGTAGAAGTATTACAAGATGGTAAAAGAATTACGACTACGAAAGAAAATGATTCGTTGATCCTAATTCGTATGATATATTTTCGTCGAAAGATTAACAATAAATTTTTTTGTATCTTAGTTCAACAAGCTTTTATTCAAAACCTAATGCGCATGCGACATAGTTTTTACAAAAAGTTGGAATTATTATAGCCTTCAAAATGATAATATTTATCCTAATGTTATTCATCATCAGGACCAAATTCTGGAGTTACAGACTTCTTTGCATGACAGTGACTTGCGGGCACGTCTAAAGATGGATTTCCATCAAAGAAGCCGTGCGGAAGAAGTTTAAATCCTGTCGATTCAACTGGCATTACTGGCCAGTCTTCTGGCCTAACAATATGAGTTGTATCGAACGTATACCATGTAACAAGGTCAGCCTCAATTAGTGACTTATCTTTGTTTTTTTCACTGTAAACAGGTAGCCCATCTTGACCGTTTTGCTGATTTGGATAATGACCGGCTGCATAAAGTTCATCTGGTTCAAAAACAGTTCCCCATAAATGATACCTTGTAAATCCTCCGCGGTCGTATTGGGATGAGTTTTTATGATATAATGGACACACATTTCCAGCTGGAACCAGTTTATAAGCCACTGGTTGTCCAACCCTGTTACGAACCAATGGATTGATGATTTTCCAATGTGTTGATGTTCGAGATTCAATTGTACTTCTTGCTTGGCCAACGGTCGGTAAAATGCTTTCTTTTGCTGTCCATGCATTACCAACTGGATTATCTCTGTTCCATGGCAATGATTCGCAATTTACTTCAGCTAACGAGTTTTTTAAACCATCTACCATCCAATCAATTCGAACATTAAAAAAATGTTGATGGTAAGGGCCATATATGTCTTCGTGGAAAACGAGAAATCGATAAAAAAGTCGAAAAGTACATTTTTGAATAGTACTGTGTTACCTGACGCTACAAGACCACCAGATACTGGCATTTGACCTGGATCAACCGCGCCTACGAGTAAATTACATAGGTGAAATATATACTATACTACTGGAGAGTGATGTTTTCGATAACAGTAACTTAATATTCCAAAAACGTGGACGTTCGTAGTGTACATAACAATTGAGTAATACACAGTTTTGTTCGTCGTTTAAAGCTGCATCGAATGATGTATATAACACTTTCCTTCAAACTTGATTCATTCTGAGAAAAGTACGAAAAAGACATCGCAATGGGTTCACAGAGCTGTTGGTCAAAGCTAATCGATTTCCTCACAGATATAAAGTCGGAAGGATAACCAGGGGTCTGGAACACCATAAAATGACATGCTCTTTCATTCTAGACACCTTTTGTATCCACTTGGATCCGTGTGGATCCATATGGATCCCGGATCCGCTTTTCCCCTGGGTTAATCTTGTTATTTCTAAACAACATCTAGTTGCATAATAACAATTCTTACAGAAACGGAAGTTGCAGAAAAATAAAAAGTAGGCTTAAAAACGAGTTTTTCGTTGTGCAGCTGGACGAAAATCAAGAAAACTTCTTTCTGCAGCGCCGGACCTTCCTCTACGTGTCTAAAAAGGTTTGCGGAGGTCGCGTCTTTTCGCTGTCTTCCGTTCACGTCTGACATATATTAGCATCTACAGACGGTTCTTGATGCGGTTTTCACAACTATCTATTAGTCGGATCGAAACTTTATATTTTTTAGGTACAAATGTACCTAGGATATCGCACTTTTCCTGCCCGTATTTCATTAGATTTCTTCTCTGCTTTAACTTTTTTTCCAAACGTCTGCCTAAATTGTGAAATAACCCTTTGGCGAAACTGTTGGAAGAACGTCAATTCTAACGGATATCAGTGATATACAGCTCTGTCTTGCATTCAGATCAAAAAAATATGTAGCTGATGTCAAAGATTCTTCAAAAGTTCATTTGTGACGTTTTTCTTACATCAGCGGCAAAAATTGAGCGTTTTTTAAAAAATTACCATCCTTTTTTTATTTTATTTTGCTACCAGCGGAAAAAGCGTGAAAAATTGAGTATGCCAGAGTGTGTTTGCAAGCGAATCATCTACCAGGGAAAAAACTGAGAGAGTCGACTTCTGATGAACGAGTGATTTTTCCTATGTTTTTTGAAATTTTGCGGAACCAATCCGTTATATTAAAGTGGATCGTGTCTACATTCACTAATTTCAAAGGCAGACACATCAGTGAATCTAAATAATTGTATTTCAAAGCCTACAAACTTTTCTCTAAGGTTACAGACCCACGTTAATCTTTGAAAGCCAATTTTGTAGGCGTTTTTCTCCATGAAAACTTACGATTTCACGATTTTTAACATCAGATTCGTAATCAGGATAAAATTCTGGTTCAGAAAAACTTTTTCCCCAATTTTTTTGAAGAAAAACATTTTCCGACTTCTCCCTGATCCCCCCTTGCCCTAAAATTTTTCGAAAAAGTGAAGCGACAGTTTTGTTCAGAATTCGACGCTGATTCCGAAAATGTATAATTTATTGTATTTTGTTGGGGGACGCAAAGTGGCCTTATCGGCCCACGTCCTTTGTTTTAGTGTATAATGCAACCTTGAGAACTTATTTAAGCTTCAAAATGATTTGTCAGACAACATCTCTTTTCTCATTTCTAGTGGTTAAAAAACGTTTACAAACAGGTGGAATAGATGATCGTAGAAAATTCATGTAACTTCGATTACACTCCATCTTAAACTTCTTACTCTAATGGAGATCCCCAGTTGTGTTCGAAAACGTTTTCTGAAGGCTCCTGAGACCCATTTATAGAGTATACTATTTCTCTGTAAGAAAGCAGAGCAAAACTATTTTTAAAGATCCCGGTTAATAGAACTGACATTTTGATCAAAATGATACATCTCCTACCTCTGGAGAATGCTTGGATAAACAGTTATGTGACATTTACGGAAAGCTTTGAAACAGATGCCTGCATTCTCAGAATTTTCTGGGCTCGTCAGAAAAAGTGAGATAAGAACGTGAGTGTTCTCCATGTTGTAAACACGTTTCGACCAGTAGAGAAAAGATGAATCCCCTCCATGATGAGAGTGTTCTCCATATTGAATAATCTGTCAAGTCAGTTCCAATTTTTCGTAAGTGCGTTCCTTTTTTTCTCTATTTGGGGAGAAGCAATCAACATTTTATTTTTATATGATCCTCTTCAGTGTGAAGCTGAAGCTCGTAAAACTTGAAACTGCAAAATGTAACTATCTAAACATGTAAGGGAGGCATTTTACGGCAAGAAGCTGTGTCCCTGGGTATAAGCTCGAAACCCAGAATTGATTTTTCATTACTTTGCTACAAAACGTCATTAAAAAGTAGACACTTTGGCCTATTCGCCCTTGCCTTTTTTTTCCTCAAAATCCATACTTTTACCTAAAATCGTCAATTGTGACTATTGTGAAAAGTTATGTCCGAAGTAGTCTTTCATCTTCTACAGCTTACGTTTTCTAGAAGTTCTTTCCAGGGAAAATGGACATACGTTAGGGTAGTGTTTGGAATATTAAGACTTGATTCATACAGCTAAAATTTTTACTACAAGCACTAGAAATCCAACATAAGGCCTGTTTATTGAGTTTCAATAAGTAATATTCATTCATGTGCGATTTACTAACTCTTGACTGAAACTGCGCTTTGGACATGCGGTTATTTCAGTTTAATCTTGTTATTCAAACAACTAATCGAATCATGAAGATCCATTACAAATTGTGTCACTCACACACACATTTATAGAACAGAACAAAATAAAAATGAAAAGAAGAAAAAACCTTAACAGAAACAGCATAATAAGCAGAATGAGGTATGTACTACTAGATCACACAATAGTCCTGTTGCAAGATGAAAGAGAAGGAAAAGAGTTTACGCCGCCTCGATGGAGAGTTACGGCTGCATAAGTAATTCAGAGATACATGCAGTGAATGAAAAAGATTATATTTCTGCAGGGTCTTGAAAAAATCGCTGTAAGCTTTTAGTCAGCACTCTAAAGAACAGCGAGGGTTTTCTCATTCTGAAGAAAACGCATTGAACTATCTGATTCAGTCGCTGAAAAGCTCTGGCTCGCATCTTAAGAGCCGGAAATGTTCTAACAAGTAAAAGATTGAGAAAGAAGCTTGAGAATACACAATCTCGAAAACAAGTCATGATAGAAACATTTTCGAGAGATAAGCACTCCCATTTTAATCGACATATCAAAATCAGTCTTAACACTTTTTTACATTTAAGTGTGGGGATGGGAGATGCCGTTAAAATGCTGATAAAAAGTTTGACAATCGTTGTTTGAAAGAGCAGAAAATGATGGCGTAAAGCTGATATATGTAATGAGAATCCTTCGACATCCTCCAGGAAAAATTCCAAAGCGTATGTTGAGAAACCTGCAGGGTATGCTTTACAACGTGTATAAAAACTTTCTGCGTTGTTGCTCGGTGGAAAAACTTGCAGGATATGCCCGACACCTGCAGGAGTTTTGAAAATTCCTGCCTGTCACCCTAGTGAAAATCTTAGACACTTAAATCTTACTAAGATCTGATTAGATCTTGTCCTTTAAGATGTTGATAAGATAATCTAAAGTCTTATCGTTCAAGATCTTAATAAGATTTAATGACTCTACTTTCATCACTCTCTTTTATTTTGCTCTCATTCAAGTATATAAATAACACTTAAAATACGACTGATTTTTTGCGGTTATTTTTCTTCCAGGCTCTGCTACTGCTTGCTCTCTCGAAAGTGTTCAACAACTTTTTAGACAGTGTACATGCAGGTCAAGGTCCATAGCTGGACACCCGAAAATATGAAATTTCTCTTCATTCTTCAACACCATTCAACTGCTGCTTTGTATAATGCGGATTAAAACTTGAAAATTTTCAGCAAATCTCGAATGGATATTATTTAAAAAATATCATCGTTCTCACTGTTAAGATCCTAACAGATTCTTATCCAATCTTGAAAAAATCTTAGACAGTATAATCTTCGTAAGATCTTGGAAAAATCTTATTAGGATCTTAGTAAGATTTCGCTTACATTTGTTTAAGATCTTAGAAATATCTTATAAAATCTTAGAATTTTCGGGTCTCACAATCTTAGTAAGATTTATTTGAGATCTAAGGCAAACGTAAACGAAATTTTACTAAGATCCTAATAAGCTCTTTCTAGGATCTTAGTAAGATTTTCACTATAGAAGACTCTGAATGTGTTTTACAGTGGGAAGTCGTGCTTGAGAGATACCTTAGTAAGTGGCAATGGTATATCACCCATCAACTAATTAATTTTTTCTAAAAAAAATCATTATTTTCTAGATACCTGTGACAATGATGCCAGTCAGTTTCACTCTATACGTAATTGAGCCATCTTGTAATAAATGCCAATACATTCCATAACTTATAAAATAAAATAAGATGGAAGAATACAACTTCTTTAACTGCTCACAGTAAACTTTTTCTTACTCATAATTTCCAACTGTAGCAATACAACTAATTACCAAACGACGAGACCGACGAACTTCTGTTCTACGCACAGTACAGCCTTCTGTATGTTTCCACAATAAACCACCATCTTCTTCATGCATACAAATAGCATTCTTTAATAAGATTGGTTCCCCTTGGCTATTGTTGACAATTGCATCAAAGTAATATATATCTCCAAGACAATCGCAGCCGAGGACAAGGCTGTTCATCGAAAGGCCAAGACCGGCTTCTCCAACATCAGACACATTTTTGTAGGAATGTGATGGATTAGGATCACCATATGGGACGTACCTTAACGTAAAAATAACAACACTCACGCATACACACAGCGCCAAGGCAATGCAAACTTCCTACATTTCAGACATGGCTGCTCGATAAATAATTGATCGCCAATGCTCTTGATCAAAATACTCAATTGTATGAAGAACAAGACCTATAAATTAGAAAAATGTGTGGTTTATATGGCGTATATTTAATATACTATTCTAATACCTTCCCGAACGTTAAAGCCAACACGAAAGCGCCATTTTTGCCACATAACTTGATAACCATCAACCCGAAAACTTGGTCCATCGGGCTGTATTACTAAGAGAGGTTTTAAATCTTTACGGATCCCATTTGGAAACCATGGAATATTGTTAGATGATGTTATACCTTCAGAAGAATAATTGGCTGTATGCGTAGGGACAGAGACAACATAATGATCTTCCACTTCGACCGTCATATCATCCAGATTAACTGTTATAACTATTCCTTCGACTGGATGCGCATAATGATTATCTTCTTTTCCACCACTAACAGCTGCCAATGGTCTAAAAATTCTTCGCTTGCCAGGTGCATCCGATGGATCACGATATCCAGCGCCGAATGGACAAAATACTATATTATTTATGTCGAGATTTCGTTTTTCTAAAGCGGCAAGTAAATTTTTATCACTTCTCAGTGCTTCATCCGATGCGATCATTTCGTCAGATATTAAACTTGGTTGGACATCCGTACGTTCCTGTACATGTCGAATATTCTTATTGTTTAAATCAATAATCATTTCTAGTGTTAAATGCCTAATAGGATCTCGAATAACAACTATCACTTGGCGTACTATCTCATCATTTGGTTGAAAATTATAAACATAAATTTTGTCTTTAGGCTCTAACAGAACAATTGTAACAATACGCATTTGGTTTTGAAAATACGATAAGTCACGAAGAATTTTTGTTGCAAGTTTAATTTCGTTCGATGTAAGTGGATCTAATGGATGTCGTACTGGTAGAAACTGAATTTCTGTTTTTGTTGAAACGTTCTTTTCAACTGCTATTTCTTCGGCAATCTTTGTTGGATGTGTTGACAAGCGTGGTCCAAGGTGTTCTCGAGCTGCTAAATCATGCTCGATTGCGGTAAAAGACATTTCTGTTCTGTTACTCTTATCTAGTAATAGGAAAAGGAAATCACATATATCATTATATATAAAGAAAGCCACTTTAGGAAGCAGTCGGAACTTAGCTGTAAAGGAATTATTCAAAAAGTAGGTAGTTGTTTATTCTCACGTCAAATTTTTGATCACTGTCAACGAACAAGTTAGTGCTTTTCCGATTTGTTTTAAATCTGTGTGTTCTAATATCAGGGTGAGCCGACATTGATTATTATTAATTTCTATGCTTCCTCTAACTCTTTAGTGAAATCAGCAAGACGATTGTATTTCAATCTACCTCGGTATTATGACAGTCATTCTACAAAGTATCGCGAGAAAAATTTCGGGCTATGACACATAGATACATAGTTCTTTGATTGAAATTAGAAGTTGTAATGTTATATTTCATAGATATAATTTTTGTTAAATAAACGTAAGCCAGAAAAAGGTAAAGTAAGCAAATAGATAAACACTAAATTTTACATTCGCGCATCTTCTAGGTTAATGTAGTTTCTTTTTTTAAAAAAAATAAATTTTCTTGATTATATGGAGTTCCTTTCTCTTCTTCTTTTGTCCACTTAACACATGGCCACCAAAACACGTCGCTCGCCATCAAATGATGCTCTACCATGTGCAGTTTTATAATTATCTAAAACTAATACGTCATTTTTTTGCCATAGCCATTTTATTTCCTCGTTCTTTAATACTTCTCTAATATGTATTAAATATTGATCAGGAATACTTTCACCATTACCAAAAAAACAGTTTTTTGGCATATCCATTGGATTTAGTCGTTTTTGAAGCATTTGTCTAGATAAATCATGAAGGTCAATTGGATGGAATAAATGTGCATGATTACACCATAACCAATCATTCGTAACTGGATGTTTTTTAACAGCATCAGCACGCCGAATTGTACGCAAACGATCATCTGATAGCCATTGAAATTGAATATGATTTTGATTAAGAAACTTTTCAACATCTAGTTTAGATTCTGTCTGATATGTTTCTTGCCATGATTTTCCAAGTCCTTTATTGCGACTCGGCATATTTGTTACATACATTAATTTCTTCTCAATAAATTCGTTACGTATGTCAGAATTAATTTTTTCGTATATTATTTTGGAATTACCAATTGGTGTTTCACCACCATTATCTTCTGATGGTGGAATTTGACAAAAAAAGAAAATTATCGAGGGCATATTATTTGCGTAGGACATTTCATTGTGTAATGCCATATCAAATTGTTTTGGATAATCAGTTGATGTGAACACTTTATCTGTAATACGTGTACGTGGTGATATACCATCACGGTAATCTAAAAATGTTTTGTTCGTATCGACTAATAGTGCAACAGTTCTTGAAAAATTTTCAGCCGTGTTTATATTGAAACCACGAAACAGCAATGCCCCACATTCGTGCAATTCATTTCTAAGTTGCGTTTTGGATTTGGAAATAAATTTTAATAATATTTCTAATGTTTGATTTGTTTTAGTTGACTCATAAACTTTTGGCATACCCCATTTTGTATTCATGATATAATTACGAATAGATATTGTTAAGTATTGATCTGTATTGGGACTGATAAGTTCTGATCTATCAAATAACTTTTGTAGGCGATTTGCTAAACTTTCGATAGTTGAATATTCAAAAACTAAATCAACCGACAATTCATTACCAATATCTTGTGAAAGCATATCGACAAACGTAATAGCTTGTAATGAATCAACACCTAAGTCGCTGAATGATGTCTGTAATGAAAATTTTTTCATCATTGTTGATGCGGCTGATCCTAGTAATTTAAATAAACATTGTTGAACAATTTCTGTATAATCTATTTTTAAACAATCAGGTTTTTTATTATTAATATCGGAATCAAATGCTTCTTTACTAATCATCGTTAATGCTGTTGCTGGTATTGTATGCTGTTCACAAGCTATGATTAAGGCTTTATTTAATGAAATATTAACAAGTGGTATCAAATACTCTTTACCAGATAAATAATTGGTATTGATAAATGAGTTTCGAAGTGCACGAATGATTGAAGTAGTGCTATTATTAATGGCTGATTTTGATTTACAGTATGTTGTCATCAAAAGTTTTTCTAAATCTTGTACTGTAGTTTTAATACCAATAGCTGGATAGTACGCTTCACATCCACAATTACTCGTATTTAATAATCCAAACGGTTTAATAAATTTTTCACAGAATAAGTCATTATAAGATAGGTTATAAAGTGCTGAAAGTATATGACCCAGTAATGATATTGAAAATATATTTGTTATTCCATCATTTTCTATTGGTAGTTTCAAACACGTTAACGTCATTAATAAATCTTCAACTGTTTCACAATTATTTTTACCATAAAATGGTAGACCATTTAATAAATCATTAACAATTAATTCCTGTAATACCGTGTATTCATTTGGATCTGGTAACAGACTAATAAGTTTTGTTGTTTCAGTTAACAAACCATTTTCTATTGCTTCAAAATACAAAGCTTTAGTAAATATAGAACTAGCAAATCCTAACTCAAAAGTTTTATCAGCAGGATATTGTGATGGAACATTAAGTTGATGAGATTTTTCTGATTGGAAATCAAGAAGTTTAACCATACAAGACTGATAATTTGTCCCTAAAGAACTGTCAGCATCAGTTCTTTTTATTTTCCAGGATACTTTCTTGGATAAACTATTTTCCGTTGATTTATCCGTTTCCCTTTCTTTGAATATTGGACAAGCTTTAATGCTGTCGTACCCATCTTTAAATGTTTCATTCGTTGTGTTATGGAACTGTTCATTACATTTACCTGGTAAAGCGTTGTTGTTTTTGTTATCAGTACAATAATTCGCACGATCGCTCGCAACACAGAGAATTTTTCTAAATGGATATGTTGGCAATGGTATTCGTTTTAAACTATAATTTAATGATGAATAATATGCATGAAATGAAATAGGTACACCATATGACCAAGCAGAGCCTAAACATTGTAAAAATGATGTGGAACTATTGTTTGAAATTAAGGGTGATGAAATAATATTAGCATTTGGTAGTATGTTTTGAACAACAGAAGTCAATATTTTTCCCGGACCAACTTGGACAAATAATAATGATTTATTATCATTTTCAAGATTGTTCAATAAATTTTCTATGCAAGGACCAAATAATACTGGTTGCTGTAAATGATTAATCCAATAATGTGGTTGTATCACTTCATTATTTTGAAGCTGTTTACCAGTAACTGTTGATAATATGGATGCTGTTGATTGTTGGTGTTGTAATGGAATATTTTTAATAAAACTTTCCAACTGCTGACAAACAGGTGTCATCAAACGAGAATGAAATGCACTGAATGTATTAAGTAGTTTAATTTTTCTTTGATTAGATTTCAGTTTAGTTTCCATCATTTTAATATTCTTTAAACGGCCAGAAAATACATATTGTGTTCGTGTATTAATTGCCGCTATATCAACATCAAATTCGATTGCAAGTTGTTTAGCATCATCATTACTTTTAACTTGGACAGCAATCATACCACCCTGATCAGGGTTTACTGTCATTAATTGACATCTTAAAGTAAGAAACTTTATAGCATTCTCTAATGAAAAAACTTGAGATAAACAAGCTGCAACTAGTTCACCACTACTATGACCAATTAAATAATCAGGCTTTAAATTCAGCTTTAAAAATAATTTTGTTAGACTATATTCCGTAATAAATAATGTAATTTGTGCATATTGATTCAGTGTATTTATGTTTTGGTATGTTTCTTCTAATAAACAAATTTTGATTAATTTTCTAATATTGAGATCTTCAATCAAATTTAAACATTTATCGATAATTTGTTTATATTCAACGAAATTATCATAAATATATTTAGCCATACCAGCATATTGACATCCTTGACCTGGAAATAGAAAAACAATTTTCTGTTCATCAAATACATTGTGGTTAATTTTCTGTGTATTTAATTGTTGTTGAAGTTCATTGACAGATGATGCAATGGTAAAATCCCGTGCATTATATTCTGTTCGACCACATGCTAAAGTATAAGCTGTGTTCCATAACTGATCATTATTTAAATTTGGTAAATAATCTATGAAACGTTGTTTGACATCTACTAATGATTCATTATCTCTAGCACTAAATATAAAAATTTTAGAATTAGGTAGTTGCTTTTGTGATTGTTCGTTTTGATATACATATTCTTGTAATATAAAGTGTGAATTTGTACCACCTTGCCCTAAAGCATTAAGCGCAGCTCGTTTGGGTTGCTTCGTTTTTGGCCACGAAACACATTTTGTGTTTACTACAAATGGTGGATCAATTTGTGCTATTAGTGAACTAAAATTTTTAAAATTTAATGTTGGAGGAATTTTACTTGTTTCTAAAGCTAGTACTATTTTGATAAAACCGGCAATACTAGCTGCATGTGCTGAATGTCCAACAATTGTTTTTATGGAACCAAGATAAATTTTGTTATTATTTAAGTATGATTTATATGATTTAGTTAATGCTGTTACTTCAAGCAGATCACCCAGTTGTGTGCCAGGGCCATGTGCTTCTATTAAACCAATTTCGTTCTGTGGGTTATCAATACGAGCCATTGCTAATGCCTTTTTCATACATTGTGCTTGCATATCTGAACTTGTTGTTGAATAAGAATTTTTCTTTCGTCCATCATTATTAATTGCATGACCTTTGACTATAGCTCGAATATTATAACCACCCTGAATAGCTTCAGAAGCTTTCATTAATATGACAATACCAGCACCATCCCCGCCAACGACACCATCAGCTTCTGAATCAAATGCGCGACAATAACCAGTTTTGGACATAGTCATACCTGGTTGATAATTGTATCCACTACCTAATGGATATTGAATACATACACCACCAACAATAGCCACATCACAATCGCCTACCTCAATACTTCTCATAGCTATATGTAGCGCTGTACCAGATGATGAACAAGCTGTTTGAATAGCCATTGCAGGACCTGTTAAACCAAGTTTGAAGGCGATAAATGTTGGGGCACCATCTGTCATGTTACTTATTTCTGCTCTTACAGCTAATGCCGGATCTAACATTGTAATGCCCAGTTTTATTTTTGTATCGTCGTAAATATCAAATGGGGATGCTCGAAATAAATTGTAATAGTCAGCATATGTATTTCGGTATAAAGCAGCAAATATACCTATTGTTCCACAATAAGCTTGTGGTACTATACCAGCATTTTCAAGTGCTTCATATGTTGTTTCCAGTAATACTCTATGTTGTGGATCCATTATTTCAGCGTCACGTTTAGTCATTTGAAAAAATACATGATCAAAATAATTTGCCTTTTCCATCACACATGATGAATGAACATAACGTGGATTAAGCTTTAGCATTTGTTTCATGTCAACATTTTTTGATAGCTCATCATATGAAGTATGTAAACAACAATCGGTGCCGTTACAAAGTGCATTCCAAAAGTCATCTAAACTATCTAGATTTCCGTACCTTGCGGACATTCCAATAACTGCAATATTCGACTGAAAAGTTTCGGTTTCTGTTGTTTCCATACCTGAAGATTCTTCTGTTATATTATTTTTTCTTACATAGTTATTGTTGCCTATCGACAAAATCCATTTTAACTGATTTTCAATTGTTGTATAATGGAATAGCTTCATAACATCTAATGTAACATCAAATAGTTTTTCCAGTATGGCATGTAACTGAACAACTGTTATTGATGTTCCTCCACAAGCGAAAAAATCATCACTATTGGTAAATATAATATTTGCGTTTTGACTAAGTACTTCTCTCCATGCTTCTTGTATTTTCGTATATGCACTTTGTTTTTCGTTATTATCATTTTTTATTACATGTCCAATTTGTGGTTTTGGTAAAGAGACATAATCGACCTTGCCACCAATACTAAGTGGTAGTTGTTCAATAAATACTATAAAGGTGGGTATCATGTACTTAGGTAAATGTTGTGATAAATAAAATAAAATTTCATCTGATGTAACTGATAACGGTTCTTGTTTCTTAATATAAGCAATAATAGATTTTTTGTTTTTAACAATATCATCTCTAACGATTATAATACTATCCAAAATTTTTGAATGATTTTTAAGTAAGTTTTCAATTTGTGACAACTCTATTCGATAACCATCTATTTTAACTTGATTATCAAGTCGTCCTTAAAATATTAAATAGATTTTTCAATCAAATGACGATATCATAGGAAGAACTATCGAGTGTCATTGTTTGTGAGAAAGTGAAATGGAGTAAAGTATGGAGTGAAAGTCATTAACTTCTAGTAGCTTCAGAAGGACCTTATTCTACAGGTAGGAGTCCAAATGGGATAAATTCATGCTGAAGTTCAATAGAGATTCTTGTTTGTATACGAAGTGAACCAGATTATAAAAATAATAATGTTTATCTCTACACTATCAAAAAATAAAAAAACATGATACACACGGTACAAAAACATGATATTATGAACTTTCTTGATAGCTCGATAGTAATAACTCTTGAGAGATCAATAGTTTTGACTGAAATATTTTTACAATCTAGTCACATAACGACCTAACCCACGAGACAAAAGTAGCTCGAAAATATCGGCGTTTATAATTCTATCGACAGCACTGGTCCCGTTTATTTCTAAACATCATTCTGACGGGAAATGTTCAAAAATAAAAGCGTATGATCAGTTTTTTGACATACTCTTGTTCTATTTAAGATGAGATGTTACGAATGTAAGAAGGAAAAACGAACATTATTTATATCAGAAACAAAGAAAAAAAACAAAGAAAAAACAAAAATGAAGACTTGTGACGGACATGCGCGTGGATCAAAACTGAAAAGAGGAAATAAGTTAATGGTGATTAAACTTACTGATGTTTGGTAGGCTGTAATGGAAACGAAGACGCTGAGCAAAATTCACAAAAGTCTTCGAGGAATACTGGAGACATATGACGCAACTTCCATTCGAAATCGGAGCTCTTGTGTCGGATATGATGTCAGAGACTGCGATATATGAGAACTTATCCTGTGGTAGAAGAATAAGCAAAAATGTGTGTGAAGTGTGCAGTAGTTATGCATTACCATTAACTTATATCTTTTTGAAAAGCTGGAACATCGGAATTTAAATTTTGTTTTAGTAATCTTATAATAAAAGCGAAATTTAAATTTGTTGCTGTTACAACTATATTTTTATTAAAGTTTTTCGTTTGACGACAGTTTTGTTCATCAAAAACTGATGGCTCTTTTCACTGACTCTGACTATCGGAATTTTATCAAAATGAATTGATAATAAATCCTACCAATTTTCAGTCATGTTTAGTACTCCAGATTGTGCGCTTTCAATAAACAAATTAAGTTTGTGCAATACTCCTACGTACAACTACTTTTCAGTTAGTTATGCGTGATAGTTTCCTCAAGATTTGGCATGCACACTCTGAACAGCGGTTTTCGGAGTAAGGTAAGTGATCTGAAATTTGCTTAGAAAGGCCTTTCATGCACAAATATCTTATATGCGATATTTCGGCGACCTTAGAGCTGCAAGAATAATAGCTTAACAACTCGCCTAAAGGATATATTATAGCATTGTATAAAGGAATCTCGATGACACAAAGCTCAGTAGGCTGAGAGCCCGACATTGTCTTAAGTATTACAAACTGCATCCTATTTATAGATAGTTGAGCACTGGAATAAGTCTAACTTGCCGTTCCCATAGCACCGTGTATACAGTTCTTTATATAACGAAAGAAAAACGCCTACCGATGAAATAAATATTTCCATCCTTTAGTTGTCGCACAAGATCTCCTGTTCGATATAATTTGCCATTATTTTGCCTAAATTTGTTTGGAATAAATTTAATGTTTGTCTGATAATCCATATTCAAATACCCTTGACTGATACCATATCCTCCAATGAGTAACTCACCATTTGTGCCATCTTCAACTAATTCAAGGCTAATTGGATCAACAATATACAAAGGTGTATTTGGAAGAGATTTACCAATTGGAACTTGATCGCCTTTATCTATAATGGTACTTAAGCTTTCTTCGGTAGCATGATACCATGTTACAATACACGTTGCTTCTGTCGGACCATAAGCATTAACAAGTTGTTTAGGTGCTGGATGACTGTTTCTTAAGACATTTAACATTAACTTTGCATTAGCACGATCACCAGCAAACATGACACATTCCATATTACTAAATGCGTATGGAACATGTTCAGCAAGAATATTAAATATGGGTGTCGCAATGAACATATGTGTAATTTGATCGGCTTTTAATATTTCAGCTAATAATTTGGTTTGAAATAAATAATTATGGTCGTAAATAAATAAGCATGCATCGTTTAACAGAGCACCATAAACTTCAAGTATATAAACATCAAAACTACATGAGGTAATCTGCGCAATTTTACTATCAGAGTTGATTTTTAATAAAAAATTAGCTTGAGTTCGTTGAACAACAGCTTGATGTTGTATTTGTATGCCCTTGGGAGTTCCAGTGGAGCCGGAGGTGTAAATTATATAACAAGTATCAGATGGTTTCACTATAACTGAGTTAGTACTGAATGGCAATGAATGTTGTTCATATATAGTCTTAATGGATACGCATATTAAGCTTGTATTATTAGCAATAGATTCAATAACCGTTTGACAGTCCATATCACAGATAATCAAACTACAAGCTGAATCATGAAGCATCGACAGTATAGTTTTTTCTGGTAATAATATATCAATATATAAGTATGCTGAACCAGTCATTACTACACCAAACATACTTGAAATTAGATCCGGTGATCGTTTCATACAGACTGCGACAACTGATTGTGGTGAAATATTATAGCTATGTTTAAGTACGGATGCGATGTGTTTCGAAAAACCTAGAAGTTGTTCATATGTCCAATTAATATCTCCATATACAAGAGCATTTTGTTTTGGTATTTTATTCACACGCTTATGTAATTGTTCATGTATTGTTAAATTTGAATAATTACCACATCGACTTAGTTGAATTTTTTCCCATAAGGTTGCCTTTAGACATGCAGGACCTTCTACAACAAACTCCACTGCTGTTTGAAAGCAGGTTGCCATTTTTTGTACAGTTTGCGGGAGAAATATGGTACTATTTACATCAAAGTACATAATAATTGAATGATTTGCTCCTTCATCATTTACGTGAAGATCAATATCCGTTTTTGCATATGGCAAAAGTACATGATTATTATCATAATATTTCCAGCTGATACCACCGTTAAAAGTGAGATTATCATTATATGAATTCATTTCAAATAACACCCGATATACAGGCATGTAGGTTTGAAGACTTTTATCGTTATTTATTGGCCTTAAACGATTAACGATATCGGCAAATGAGCATTGTTGATTTTCCATAGTCAGTAAAACACTTTGTTTTACAACATTTAAAATATCAATAAACGTTGTTTCTGTTTTATTTGGTATACGTGATCTTATTGGTAATGTATTTATCATGGGACCAAATAAGCTTTGAGCGATATGTTGAGAACGGGTTGAGATAACAGTACCAATAATAATATCCAAACAATTATGACTATAAACACTTAGAACACATTTGAATAAAGCTAATAATAATGTGAACAGGGTACACTGATTTTCCATTGCTAATTTTCGAAGTCTATCAGCCATTTTGTTTTCAATTTCTAAACGTGATGAATACATCTGATTATGGCTAATATCATGCTGTTGTTGATTTTCGGTTTGTTCGATTTCAAGATTTAAATATTGAAATGTTTTCAAATTATTTACTAAAATTTCCAAATGTTTTCTTGTATCAACGGGTTGGATATTATTGACATAATCCATGAACGATAGTTTTGTTGATAATTGTAAATGTGTTCTATCATAAATCGTTGTAGATGAATACAATTCAATTAGTTCTTTGATAAATTTATTTAATGTGAAACCGTCACACACTATATGATGAAATGTTATCAATAATAAATGACGTTCATTTTCATTTATCATTTCACTCATATTATGAAACAATGTAAATCGGCAAACAGGCCCATTTTTTAGATCAAACGGTTTCACTGAATATGCTTGTAATCGCTCAACAATATTGTTATGATTCATATCAATATCTACCTCTGTAAACGGTATCAACCAATTTTTATTTTTAACTACTTGCCAGATAGAACCATCTTTTTCTTCATTACAAACGATTCTTAATATTTCGTATCGTTTCATCAGAGCGTGAAGTACTTTATAAAGCTTGTTTTGATCAAGGTGGCCGTTTATTTCGATAGCAATCGGCACATTATAATAACAACTATCTGGTTTAATTTTCCAAATAAGCCAAAATGCCTTTTGAATTTCTGTTAACTTAGCTTGATATGACGACGATGATGAATTTAGCGTTGCAGGTTGTGATTTTCTTTCTCTTATTATCGTATTATTGATTTTTTCAATAAATTCAGCAACTGTTTTTGATTGAAACAAGGATGGTATTGTCATGTTAACACGAAATTTTTCATATATTTTCGCTATGATTTCCATCGCCATTAATGAATGGCCGCCTAAATGAAAAAAATTATTTTCTAATGCAATTTTTCCTTGAATTTTTAAACTGTTTGAAAATATTTCCAAAATAGCATCTTGCAAATTTTTTTGTTGCCTAATTTCTGGTTTCGGTAGCATCTTTCGATCAATTTTCCCAACATGATTTAACGGTAGTTTATCCATTATAATTATGAATGATGGTATCATGTATTTTGGTAAGCGTTCAACTAAAAATTCATGAACGTTTTTTTCAATTTGTTCAATTGAAAATGATGATGACGTTGTTTCTATATAAGCTACAATGTGTTGTTCTTCTTCAATAATATCTGTCCGTAAAAGGACAATTGCGTCATTAACGCTTTCATGTAATAATAGTTGTGTTTGAATTTCACCCATCTCAAGCCGTTGTGAACGAACTTTCACTTGATTATCGAGCCTATGTAAAAACTCAATATTTCCATCATCATGCATCTTAACCATATCACCACTACGATAAACTAATGTGTTATCATTTATAAATGGATTAATGATAAATTTTTCGGACGTTAATTTGAAATTATTAAGATACCCAAAACTTAAACCAGCACCAGCAATTAATAATTCTCCTGTCATACCTTTTGGAAGAAGTTCAAGGTTTTTGTCAACAACATACAGTTTTGTGTTTGGTAAAGGTCGTCCAATGGGGATAGTATGAACATTTGTATAATCCATCCATTTATCCTGATCAATTGTAAAGCATAAAGCAAATATAGTGGTCTCCGTAGGACCATACACATTAATAAGTTTTCGTGGTGGTTGTTTAAGAACTTGTTTCACATATTTTATATTAACTTTTTCACCACCAAATAGAACAGAATCAAGTTTTGAAAATAAACTTGTATCAGTTTGTTTGGCTAATATATTGAATACAGCAGTAGAGGGACAAATCATATTTAATTTTAAATGAATCAATTCCGTTGCTGAACAAATAGATTCTTGTTTAATGATAACAAGTGTTCCACCGTTTAATAAAGTTGCAAATAGTTCAAATGATGATACATCAAAACCAAATGAGCACACTTGTCCAACACGATAATTCTTTTTAATGTTGTGTAAATTTGGAACATTGACGGTACGAGATATGATATTTCTATGCGTTGTACATACACCCTTTGGTTGACCGGTCGAGCCGGATGTATATAAAATATAAGCGAAACTGCTAGATTTTGTTCTATCAATTTCAGTCGAACTAGTATTGCTGTCCGATATTAATTCATCATATGTAATAGTTAAGGCATTTAGTTCATTATTATTAATATTATCAGTGATAATGAGTTTTGCATTTGTGTCTTTTAATATAAAATTTTTCCGTTGAATTGGTAATGTTGGATCTATATAAACATAATAATTGCTAGACAGTAGGATTCCCCATATTATTTGTATGAGTTCTATATTACGATCCATACCTATTGCAATACACTGTTGGTCTTGGCTTGAGGTGTATTGATGAATCCTAGATGCGATTAATTGAGAACGTTGCCATAGTTCTCCATAAGTTAGTTTAGTCTTATTATATTCAACGGCTGTAACATGTGGTGTACGTTGTATTTGTTCATTAAATAATTGGCATAAATTTTTTTCTAATGGTTGCTCTACAAATGTTTCGTTGAACAAACCAACTAGTTGTTGTTTTTCTGAAATATCTAATAGTGCTTGCTTACTCATTTTATTATTGGGACTATTTAATGCCGATTGCGTTAACTGTATCCAACCTTTTAATAAACATTGAATTGTTTCTGGTTTAAATAAACGTGTAGAATATTGAGCTTGAGCAACTAAGCAATTATTATTAATATTTTTCCATATTTGTATTTCGAGATCGAATTTTGAGGTGTAATTAATAACTGATAATTTATCGAATATATCTGATTCAAATATTTCACCAGCATTCTGATAAGCAAACATAATTTGGAGCATTGAATGTTTTTCATTATTAGTATTACGTTTTAAATGTTTTAAATGTTGTGTCATATAACTAAATGGAATATTCTGATGTTCGAATGAATCTAAAACTGTTTGTTTAACATTGTTTAATAATTCAAAAAAGCTAAGGTCATTGTCGATTCTTGTATAAATAATAATTGTATTTGTAAATAGACCAACTGTATTTTCAATTTCGGTTATATTTCGAGCAGAAACAGGAGTTCCAAGGCAAATATCCATTTCATCCGTATAACGAGCTAATAATGATTTAAATGTCGTCAATAGTAATATAAATGGTGTTATATCACAAGTTTTACAAACTGATTGAATTTTTTCAATGAGTTCTAAAGGAAACTCTAGCTGAATTGTTGCACCTGTTGAACTTTCGTTGTTATTATTGATATCATGGTTTAAATAATCAGGTGAAAGATGAGCATAAATTATATCACCATTATTTAATTGTTTTATCCAATAAGTTAAATCATCTGACATCGATTCTAGCATATTTTCTTGTTCTAAATAAGCATAGTGATGATACTGTAATTCAATTGGCTTTAGTACTAATTCTTTTTTATTATAATCATCACTAATTAAATACGATAATGTTTTTTCCAATTCATGTAGTATGATTCCAATTGACCATCCATCAATAATAATATGATGAAACACCATTGTGAGAATAGATATTGAATCAGTTGTTAATAAATAGATAGTATAACATGGTTTTGAACTATTAAGAAAATACTTTTTTGTAGTAAGTTGAATTAATATATTTTGTATAGCATCTTCCGGAGATTGATTTTCAACTGAAATATGTTCATAGATTTTTGTATTATTAATAAATAAATCACCGTCTAAGTTTACTTCTAATGGTTTAACAATTTGAACAACATTACCATACGAATTTCTTTCAAATATTGTACGTAATATACAATGACGCTCAACAAGCGTTTGTACTGATTTTCTCAAATGGATATTTGTTACATGCTTATTTTTTATTTCATATGTACATTCAACATTATAATCTGTTCCTAAACTATTTATTTCATCATCAACCCACATACCCTGTTGAATATAACTAAGCGGTGCTGTTTGTATTGAATTATAATCGTCAATTGAAGATAACTTCCGTTTTTGATGGTGTTGATTAATATTATCATCGACAAATTTGATTATATCTGAAAGCTTTGTTTGTTGAAAAAAGTATTGAATTGGTATCCGAAGGTTGAATAGACGTTGAATACGGCGCTGGATTTCAACAGCAAGAAGTGAATGACCACCTAATTCAATAAATGTTGAACTTTTACAGAATGTATTATTAATACCAAGTGTATCACACCAAGTTTTTAATAACATACAACTAACATTGTTATCTTTATCATGTTCATTACTTTTATCTTGCACATAAATTCGATTTTTATTTTTTTCATATAAACAAAACAATTTTTTTCTGTCCACTTTACCACTAATTGTTTTTGGAATATAATCAACCGAACAATATAATGATGGTAATTCATTATCAGGCAGATTTAATTTAATCCATTTTCTGATATTTTCTTCTTCTATATGATGTTGATCTAATGTTTTATATAAAGCTACTATTTGTGATTTTTCATTAACGAAGCATGCTGCATCCTGTACTGATGGATATTGCATGAAAATAGCTTCTATTTCTTCTAGTTCGATACGAACACCTCGAACTTTTACTTGTGCATCTAAACGTCCTAAAAACATTACATCTTCTGTTTTCGGAGAGATACTAACAAGATCACCAGTTTTGAAATATATTCTATTGTCGATAGCAATCAGTTTATCTGATGTAAAATTCAAATAAGCAGTAAATAGACCAGGTCCAGAAATTAAGAGTTCCCCAGTAGCAGATGGTTCTTCAATTTTAATGTTATTATCATTCACAATTATATAATCCATATTTGTGATTGGTTTTCCAATTGGCACAGTAGCAAAATTCTCATAATCAGAATGATTATTAATTTCATAACAAAATGCATCATTACCAATTTCAGTTGAACCATATAGATTAAGTAATTTTACATTAGAAAAAGATAATAAAAATAATTTACATAAAGCTTTTGGTATTATTTCTCCGCTTACTATTACCGTATGAAGTGATTTTAGGTATTGCTGAATCTTTTCTATCGCATATACTTTTAAAATCGATGATAACATTGTTGGAATCAGCGTAATTCTAGTGGTAGATGTTTTATAAATTATATCAATAAGTAAAGTAGGATCACTGGCCGTCTCTTTCGATGCGATCACAGTTGGTATACCTTTTAACAAACCACCTAGCATTTCCCAAATACAATCACCAAACACAACTGACGTTTTCCATATTTGTCTATCATTTTTTTGCCATTGGTAATTTTTCCACATCCATTGAAATCGATTTATGATTGCACGATATGGTACCATAACACCTTTCGGTTGACCGGTTGTGCCACTGGTATACATAATATACATAATATCTTCAGCGGACAATATTGAAGGATGGAGTTCATTATTACCTGCTTTAAGTTTTACCAATTCGTTGTAAATTTTTACCGACTCTGCTGAAATAATATCCGTTAAATTTTCAGCTAATGTTTTATCTGTTATAATTAACGATGGTTTTGCATCATCCAAAATAGTTTTAAGTCTTAATTGTGGTGTGGAATGTTCAATTAGTAAAAATGGTGATCTATTAGCTATTGAAGCTAAAATACTAATAATCATATCATAATTACGATTCATATAGATGGCAATTAATTGTTTAGACTGTACATTCAGTATTTGAAAAGATTCATGCAATACTTTCATTAACATATAGACATCTTTAAATGAAATATATTCTTCATTTTCTGTGATTAAACATGTACCGTCAGGCTGATTTTGAACAACGATGCACAGTTGTTTGATAAAATCTTCTTCATCTGTACAAGAATTGATTGCAAACAGGGCTGACGACATTTTTTGTGTTACAGCTAAGTCCAAACCTGTTCTATTGAATGAAAATGAACAAATTTGTTAATTTAGATCGTATAATATCCATTGATCCGATAGTTTTGCGTTCAAGAGGAGAGATGCTATGATATTATTACAGATTAGCTTTAGGCTCGATCCACTCTCGTCACCGAATAGAAAATGAATTTTGGTCAAAAGTGTCGATTTTAAGATAAACACATGGTCGCAAATAAGCAAAAATTCGGCTCTCTCAACCTTTAGACAGGATAATCTCGTACTGTTTAGTCATGTTTTATGGTTATTCTTGTAACTCAGCTTAGTAGGCATTAGATTATAACCAAACTTTTTTTCTATGTACTTCTGAACTACGGCTAATTCGTTTGTCAAACTCCAATCTAAATCTTAGCTCCAGCAGTGGGACAGAAATTGTTAAACCGAAATTATGTTCGTTCAACGAGAATTTTGCTAAGAAACTAGCATAAGTTACTTCTAAGCCGCGAAAAAACTGCGATATGTCAGTTTTCCCATTTACCGCATCCATGTACGAGAATTATGCTCCTTTGTGTGAGACTTACGCACAATATAGCAAATATGATGATATTTTACAACTTTTTTCTCTATGTCACAGAAATAATGCATTCACAAGAGAAACATGCTCTCATCAGTTCAAGAAATTCTTCGACAAAACAGCATAATTCTCGTGAAGAGAGCATAATATCTGCTAGATTCTACGCATAATTCTTACAGAAAACAGCGTAATTGTCGTGTAAATGCATTATTCTCGTGACCTAGACAAGAAAGTTTCTGTGAGAAGATCTCTCTTCGCGAGAATTTTGTATCTTCTCATGGAAATTTTTTTTCTCCAGGTCACGCAAATAATGCATTTACACGAGAAATGTGCTCTCATCGGTGAGAGTAATGCTCTGTTCCTTGAGAATTATTCACGCTCTGGGAGATACTAAGCAGTCACACTAATGAAAAAAAAGATACAAAATTCTCGTGAAGAGAGCATAATATCTTCCAGATTCTATGCATAATTGTCACAGAAAACTGCATTATTCTCGTGACCTGAACAAAACTTTTTTTTGTGTATTGTGTTCTCTATCTTTTCATAGAAACTTCCTTCTCTAGATCACGAGAATAATGCTTTTACACGAGAATTATGCTGTTTTGTGTGAGAATTATTCATAGAATCTAGAAGATATTATACTCTCTTCACGAGAGTTTTGTATCGCTTCTTAAAACTGTATTTGCTAGCTGACAGAAATAATGCATTTACACGAGAAAGATGCTCTCTTCGGTGAGAATAATACTCTCTTCATTACGCGCGTAGTGGGAGATATTAAGAGAACCTGCATCAGAACGTCGAGTATTGCCATTAAGTGAAATTTTTTGACCTATACTTTTTATTACATATTCGGATTCAATACATCAAACTGTGGTTATGAAAAAATTTTTTGGGAGTTCTGCCCAAATTT